TGAGCTATGAAACCAGTCACAATCAAGCTACAGCACAATTCCATTGGCCCCAAACATGGCCTCAAGCCTGGTATTATTCCTACTCCTGGAAACCACCCAGGGGTAAAGCCCCACCCTGGACCGGGTGCACTGCAGCCCACCAGCATCGACCCAAGGGCAGAGGCACCCACGCTGAGGGATGCACCCCCACTCTGCTCCATCCTGGGAACCCTCGGCGGGTCTACAGGCCGAGCAAGATCAGCGCAGCCTAGGACACAGCTGCTGCCTTCCTGGGTTCCTTCCTACCACCGAGCAGCCTAAAGGTACCACGCACCTGCACTCTTCCTGCTGCAGTCCTCCTGCCAGCAGGTCCTCGGCTGTGACCTGTCGCAGACTCAGTGGTCACCACAGAGGCGACAACCAGTCTCCGCAGCAGCCCAGCGCTGGGAGCCAGCACAACCGCAGCCCCACCGCTCCCTGCCTGGCTAGAACAGCTGGGGACAGCCAGCCTGCACTCTGCAGGTCACCCTCCACCCGTCCTCCCGGCGGCTCCCTGACCTCAGCTGGGGGGGCAGACCACACACACGGAAGACCGCCGACATGTGTGCAGGCAGCCCCAGGCATCTGTCTTTTCCCAGTGGCAAGATGGGGCTTTTGAACTCATGTATGGAAAATGAGAGATGCTCTTAGTCGGTAATCAACATTCAAAACCCTTCTTCATCCGCGTGACTCTTTAGAAACAGGCTCCATTTTTACTACCGTTTACAGCATAATGCAGCTGGCCACACATTTTACTAACACAGATGGAGTAGCACCAAGCGAGGCCGCGGGAGCTCCCAGGAGCCACCGTGAGGAGCCGGGGCTCCCCCGGGTCACCAGCCGCCCACGGCCGCTCTGGGGCCCGCGCTGCCCGTCACCTCCGTGTCCACCACTGCTGTCCTCGCCCTACAGAGTGGAGGCTGGGGCCTCAGGGCAGGGGGCAACCCTGGCTCTCACGCAGCCTCTCCGGGTGGGGGCTGCTCCCACGCGACACCCAGCACATGGCCCATCCTGCAGGGTCGCCAAGCCCGGGACAAGGCGCCCTCTCCCAGCCTCCTCCGCCTGCGGTGCCTCCCACGCGTGGCCGGGGCCCAGGCACGCGTCTGCAGCCCCCAGGACAGTTCCACTCTCGCCTCACCCTGCACCAGCAAGCGGGTTCCCCCATCCCCAGAGGGAGAGCCCGGGTCAAGATCGTGCCAGATGAATAAATCCTGATGTGGGTAGAAGGAATTCTCCAAATGGGGCTTGCAACTTTTACTCTGAAATTGGGAAACTAACCCTGTGGCAGAGGTGTGGTGCAGCACACCTGCCATCTCAGCACTTGGGAGGCTGAGGCAGGAGGATGGAAACTTTGAGCCCAGCCTGGGCAGTTAGTGACTTTGCAAGACCTGTCTCAAAATAAAAAATAAAAATGGGCTGGGGATGTAGCTCAGTGCAAAAGCCCTGGTTTGCATCCCCCTAACCCTACTCCCCAGTACTGTGAATCCAGACATAAAGGAGCCCCGGCCTCAGCCCACTGTGAGAAGACCCCCTTCATCTTATGAACAGATGAGACTCAGTTCTGTCCCTAACCAGCACTGGATGGGGGTAGGGCCTAGAGTCACTTCCTTTCCCTAAAGAATCTGAGCAAAGAATATTTTGAAACTCCCAACTAAACAAGCATGATGCAGACAGGCTCACTGGTCACCAGACCTGAAAACCAGAGAGAAATGCAGTGTGACTTCTGGGTGAGCGGAAGGACAGGTTTCAGTAAACAGTTAAAATTCCATACAGCTGACTGGGTTCTGCCTGCCAAGCTCAGGGTTAAAAGGAAACTGTGAATTCATTCAATACTTAAGTGAAGTATTACCTAACATTTGATTTTTGTAGGGTTTTAAGTCATTTCTCGTTTTCAGGAGTTGGACATTTTTGTGCAATTCGGTATCTAAAATAGTGATCTTCTGCTTGAAATTTGCATCAAAGAAGTGAAATAAATTCGTCTCAGAAGTGTCACTTAAGGGAAGTTATTCGCATGGTGATCTGATCTTGGGGGATGAACTGGATGACACTGCCAATGTTTGACTATTTTAACCCAGAAAAACGACATATTCATGTTTCCACTTCACACACTGGGGCCGCTCTCTTGTTCATTTTATGATAAATTTATGTCACAAAGACAAGTAGCGCTGAAGCGGCATCCGTGTCCAAAGGCAACGCTAGATGGCAGTAGGCACACAGGCACTGCGCCTGACGCTGCTTTCTCTACAGCGCAAGGGCTGTTTTAGCCTCCACTCGTTTTACCCTGCATTCAATTAAGACCTTAAAATACCTAAAATCAAAAACCTAATCAAGAAATTCAAGTTATTTGGCTTTGGAAACACAAGCCAAAAAACTAGTAAAGCTATCAATTCATCCCATTTTAAATTATGAGAAAACTAACATTCAACATCAACTTTCTAAGATTTGTGTTGTTAACACATTCTACCATAGAAATTATTTTAGATATTAATTTGGAGAAAAAATTAACATCTTAAATTGGACATTTCTCCATCAAATGTTAAAATTTATACAAGAATTTACATATATTTAAAACTTACTTAATATGATTTTCTTTAGTGAAATTTTAGGAATAAATTTTAAGAATAAACACATGAATGGTCAGCATGTTAGCACATTAATATGCTATTACCGGTCACAAAGCTTTTTAAACTTAATTAAGTACTAGCAATATATATGCTCCATGAAAAATAAGAAATAAGTAAAATAATAATTTTATTTTAAAATTAATTTTAAGTCTTTATTACCTTCCTTGAAAACACATTTTCAGATCTAAGAGAAAAATCTTATAAAGAAAAGTTAATTTGTTGAGCTGACTGTCTTGATGAAATTTCTGTAACATTCTTCTTTTCTACTTCACTGAGGTAAAACTAACATAAAAACTGTGTATATGCAAAGGGTACAGGTGATGTTCTGAAACAAGTAGACGCTGCAATATGATTATCACAATTAAGCTAATTAATACAGCCAGCACCTCACAGTCACCTGGAAACAGTCTGAGCCAGAATTCTAGCATGAGGCCAGGTATGGTGGCACACGCCTGTAATCTCAGCTCTTGGGAGGCTGAGGCAGGAGGATCACTGTGAGTTTGAGCCCCACTGGGCTACACAGTAAGTTCAAGGACAGCCTGAACTACATAGTGAGACCTTGTCTCAAAAAAAAAAGAATTCCAGCACAATCTTACCCACTTAGATGGTAACAAACCCAAAGTTTACTTTCTAGTTTATTTGTAAATGTTCCACTTTTGGATTCATTACAAGACCAGATGGTATTCAGCTGAGGTCTCAGCAACACTAGAATAAAATTAGTTAACTTGCTGATTTTTTTGCTTATTTCTGATGCGATCTCTAAGGCTGGCTTTGTACTAACACACAAAATGCTCATTTTATAACCCCAAGCTGGGACCTGCTCTCCGATGTGAGAAGTCAAGGAAACGGCCCGAGGCCAGCCACCATCCTGTAGGTCCGTCCTGCGGGCGGCAGATCCCACACCAGGCCAGGGGAAGCAGCTGCCTGGCCTGCAGCACACACAGGCCCCGACCCGGGCCAGGAGGGATCCAGAGCTCAGATGCAGCCGGCCCTGCCCGAGGCTATGGCGGACCCCAGGCTCGGACAGAGCTCCCTCTTCCTGGGGCTAGGGATGAGACCTTATTCCCTCCCTGGTCTTGTTGGACATTTAACCAAGAAATGGCCTAACAGCCAATTCCGCTTTTACTTCAGCACCGACAGTTGTGGGCCAGGGAAGGCAGCTCCTGTGGTGAATTCTGTTGGGCCCTGGCGAGTCTAGTAGTTTCAGGGCTTAGTTGGGGCCTGGATCTAATCAAGCCCACACACATGGGCAAAGGTGAGTCCCAGATCTGCCCAGTTTCGGGTGCAGCCTTCTCAGAAGGCCTGGGGTGACTCGCAGCTGGTCACTCCCACCCTCCTCTCGCACTTCTACAGGCAGCAAATCAGCCTTGCAAAGGGCTCCACAATCCTCCCAGCCCACACAGTTCAACAAAGCCATTCTACCCGCCAGGACCCTCTGCTCCGGCTCCCGCTCACTGCTGTCTGAAGCCCTTCTCCACAAGGCACGCTGCACACAGCACGGGTCACCGGCAGAGGCCCAGCAGACGGGAGGAGGGCGCAAACAGCACAAAGCAGGACATGTCTTGAGCCCGCACTGGAATTACAGTTCACCATCTCATTCCTCATGAAACACCGCTCTATGATCCTGTGTCATTATCTCTTTGCTTCCTTGTAACAATCTTTTTGGTCTATGTTTTGTATTCTGAGTAACGATACACTGTGTAGTAAATATTGTTATTCTTATTATTTGTTAAGAAATTTTTTTCATAAAATGAAAATAAATAATTTCCACAACTGCTCTAACTTGAAAATATCTCAAAATGAAAGGTCACAATATTCTTTTGAGAATGATAACCATTAGCAACAAAACCAACTTACTGCACACCCTTGTGTTTACATTTGGTCAGTGTTTCATTTGCACTATTGCAAGAGTCCATATTCTGAAACATGAAAAATAAAAGAAAAATCTAAAAAGTACACAGAAAGCCTACACATTCTTCATATGCAAAATGTTGCGCCTTTCTACGAATTAGAGTCAGAGTGTCTCACTCTATACCTATAGCACAAGTCATTAACAAACATTTCTTAGCATTTGCTTAAGAAAGCGGGAGTGATGTTGCCCTACTAAAAATACATGTTAGGTTCACCGACTCCTATTCCCAGTAGAATTTATCCACTCGGCCCTGGACAGATGGCAGTGGCCGGAGCCACTTCCGTTTGCAGCATGGCGTGCTGAGGTAGCAGGATGGCACACCTTGCAGAGCCGGACTGCTCCGCTTTCTCACAGCAAACGTGCATCACTTCACTGCAGGTATGAGCAGCAAGGACAGCACTGCTTGGGAACCACAGGTGTCCGCAGGGGATTAAGTGTCCACTTACCTCCACCACCACCACAATCAAGACGAGCTCTGTTTTTGAGTCTGGAAAGACTGCGTTCACTTGCGGAGACATTCCAATCAGAGCACAATTTGTGACCACAGCTATGACACTCATTGTTTCAAAAGCCAACTGAGAAAAGAAGGATGTGAAGTTAACACTGCAATGCCCCTTTCCACAATTCCTTCTCCTTTTCATACCCCCTGAAAGCCAAGGACAAGGTCTGCCTAGGTTCTACACATTCCAACCAAGTGCCTTTCAAACCGCTTTCTGTTGTATGATTTTCTTCAGCTTACAAAGTGCCATATTGTTTGAAGGTATTTTAGACACTTCTGGCTTGAGCATCCCAAAGCAGTTTGTTTCACGTTTCCAACCAGAGCGGCCTGGTTTGGAACCTGCCCAGTACACTGCTATCTGAGGATAGACCACCAGAGGCATGCTGGAGCATCCACAAGCATGGAAGACTGCAAGCAGAATTTGCTTTGTGAAAGCATCCTACTTTGACAGGTCACAGACATCATCCAGAGCAGCTATAACCAAGCTCCCATGGCAAACTGATCCCTTCCTAGTGGCACCTGCAGGACACTGGGAAAATACAGATGCCAGGGCCACTGAGACCACGAAACACGCTCATCCAGCAGGCGCCATACAGGACTGTGGGGCAGACTGCTGAATACAGAAGGGTCTCTCTTCTCCTCCCCGTATATAAAAAGTTACTTATCTCTGAATCTTAATTTTGTGAGTAACTCTATCTTCTTATTATGTGTAATAATTTTCAGTTGACCCTCTGGGTTTTCCCAATCATATGATCCAAAAATGATATCCTGAAACCTTACTGATCCCCCATTTGCCCTGTGTTTGCAGATTCTTTGGGCTTTCTGTGTAATCACGTCAGCTAAATTGAGACCACCTTATTTCTTCCTTTTCAGTGGTATGTCTTTTATTTCTTTTCTTGCTTAATTACACTAAACTTCCAGGACTTACACTGAATGAAAGTAGAAAGGCTAGACATATTTACATCGTTCCCAATGTTAGAAGGGAAGTATTCACTCTTTCACGAATAACATTAAAATTAGGGTTTTTAAATAGATGTTCTTTATCAAGTTGAAGTATTCCTATTTTTCTGAAAGTCAAAAAATGAATGACTGTTAGATTTTGCCAAACGCTTTATCTGTATACACTGATATATGATGTGATTTTCTTCTTTAGATGATTATGGTGAATTGTATTAACCGAATTTCAAATTCTGAAGCAGGCTTGCATCCCTAGACCGAATCTCACTTGTCATAGCATAAAATTCTTTTAACATTATTGCTGAATTCTATTTGCTGATAATTTTTAAAGATGTTTTGTGCATATATTCATGAAGAACATAATCTGTTTTTTTAACTCTTTGCTGAGTTTTGCTACCACATTGATACTATCTTCATCATAAAATGAACTGGGAAATATTCTTCCCCTCTTCTGTTTTCTGGAACTGTGTAATTTTGGTGTTAATTCTTCTTAAAATGATAGAATTCACCATTGAAGTGATCTAGCCAAGACTTTTCATTTTTGAAATTTGCAATTACAAATTCAACTTTCTTCCTAATTACAGGGCTGCTCAAATGATCTATTTCATACTGGGCGAGTTGTGGTAATATGTACTGTTTGGAAGAATTGGTCTAGTTCATTCAAGTTGTGAAGTTTACATTTGGGAAGCTACGGTGTCCCTTATTACCCTGTGAATGGCCCCTGGACCTGCAGTGATGCCCTCGGTTTCATTCCTCTACTGCTAGCTCCTCTCCTTTTTGGTCTTGCTAGAGGTCTGTCAACTGTATTGATCTCTGCAAAGCACCAGATCTTTGTTTCACTGATCTCCTCTATTATTTCACACTGTCACTGATTTGTACTCTTCTCTTTATGACTTCCTTTCTTCTGCTTGCTCCCGGCTTCCTCTTCTTTTCTAGCATGTGTATCTTGACCTGTAAGTTTGCCATCAGCACTGTGTCTCCCGGATTCTGACCTGCTGTATATTCATTTTCATCCAGTTCAGTGTATCTTTCTACTTCACATCAGCCTATCTCTCCAACCTATGGGCTATTTTGGTGTTGTTCAGTTTTCAAATGCTTGAGATTTTGCTGTTATTTTCGTTACTGATTTTCAGTTGGATTCCATTGTGGCCACAGAAAATACTATGTATGATCGCAAGGCTTTAAATTTTGAAGTTTGTTTTATGTCCCAGGAGATGATTCATCTTACTGAATCTTCTGTATGCACTTCAAAAAAGAGTATATATCCTACTGCTACTGGTAGAATGCTCCATAATATCAATTAGAAACTCTCATTTAATGGTATAACTGTGTTCTTCTGCATTCTGCTGATTTTCTATCAAGCTGTTCAGAAAGGAATGTTAAATCTCAAGCTATACTTGTCAATTCATTTCTTCTCTCAGTTCAAGCTTTTATCGCCCATTTTGAAACTGTTGTACAGTGCACACACCTTTACAATTGTTGCATCTCCCTAGACATTTGTCCCTTTTATCATCACAGAATGTTCCTCTCTGGATTATTTTTCTCAGAAGTCTACTTTCTCAGATATTACGTTAAGCATAACTAAAAACCTCAAGGGCAGAAAGGCTTTTGTGTTTGCTCCCATTTTTGGTTGCCATGTTTTTTCTTCCACATGTTCCCAGATTCCATCTTTCATCATTTTCTCAGTTTGGAGAACTCCTTTCAGCCATCCCATCAGGACAGGAGGCTGGCAACACAGTCCCTCAGTTTTCCTTCATCTGTGAGCGTCTTGGTGTTTTCTTTAGGAACAGAATCCTGTACTGACCATGCTTTTCTTGAAGGAGTTGCAATGTTGTGCTACTTTCTTCTGGCTTCCATGGCTCCTGGTGAGAAAATGGCCATCATCCTGTTTTTCTCCTTCAGTTAAAATGTCCTTTCCCTTTGCTGTCTTCAGTATTGTCTGTAGTTTTCAGATGTTTAACTATGATGTGTTGGCACGGATTTCTTAGGGTTTATCTAGTTTGGGGTTTGCAGTTTCTTCAGCCTGTTGCTTTAGGTTTCCTGCCAAATTTGAAAAGTTCGTGGACATTATTTCTTCAAGTATTTTGGCCCCTCCTCCCTCCTCTGCTTTGATAACTCCAAAGAGAAGAATGCTGACTCTTTCATTACAGTCATAGGCTGCTGAGGCTATGTTTATTATTACAATCTGTCTCCTCTCTGTTGCTCAGATAGGGTCATTTCTTTCGTTCCATCTTCCAGTTCCCAATTTGCTCCTTATCCCTTCCATTCTGTTCCTGTACCATCTACTGAGCCTTCTATCTCAGTTACTCTGTTTGCCACTTCTAACATATCAGTTTGACTCTCCTTTGTGTCTTCTGTTTCTTTGCTGAGATGATCAAATTCTATTTTTTCTTTCATGTTGGGGTGCTCATAATTACTGGCTAAAGCACTTTTATCATGGCTCTGATTTCAAATCACTGTCCTATATTTCTAATATCTATGTCATCTCAGCAGTAACATCTGCTGATTGTCTTTTCTCATTCAGTTCAGTATTTTTCTGATTCTTGATATAAAGAGTGATTTTTTTTTTTTTTGGAAACCTGGACATTCTGCATGTTATAAGACCCTACATCATCTGTAAATGTGTTCTAGCTGGTTACTCTAACACCATTTCAGCAAGGGAAGAGGGGTAATGCACTGTGACAACCAGATGGAGGTAAATGTCCAGGCTCCCCACTTAGGAACCTCTGGCACCCATGGTGGGAGGTCCTCAAGGCCGCTGCACCAGGGTGGGCATTCTGGTTCCCACTAAGCCTACACTGTTTCCTGCTTTCTGAGGACATGTATGTGCACCCATAGCCTCTGCTGTGCAGGGTGGCAGGAAACTCCATTCAGCTCTTCTGAGCCCACCCATCAGGGACTAGGGAGCGACCCTGGTTACTGCCAGGTGAGAGGATGAATCCAGGCTCCCATGCAGTCTCCACCAACACTGCAGCAGGAGGGGCCTCACGACTGCCCTGTGATGAAGGCTTGGCCGGCCACTTTCCAGAGAACTGGCAGAGTTCCACCCCTGAAAGGGTCCTTAACAATGAGACTTTGCCCCCCATCCAATGTTAAAACAAAAAGTATATAAGAAAAGTGAGGCCCAGGTGAGTTAAAGTGAATGACTTCTTAAGGTCACACAACTATTTTGCAGCTATGCAAGGATTAAAACTGAGTTTTTCTAAATCCCTCTTTTAAAAATTGCTTTATTTTTTCCCTTACAGTGCCTCTTGTTTTTAAAGAAAGATTTTTTTTCTCAAATAATTACCTGCCACACACCGATGCTGGCTGAAGGTTCAGAGAATGGACGTTTGAAGACCCTGCACATTTTTAAGGCATCTGAATTGACTTCGGTGAAGTTGTTTAACACAGCAAAGGCAGCTGCTAAGGGGTAAACACAGGAGAAGAGGCTTACGTAACCAAACTGCAGGAAGAGCTCCAAGTAATCATCAAAGGTACCCTGCAGATGTGAACAAAAGGAAAGCAGGCGTCGTTTTAATGTTTAGTACAGGAAAGATCCTTTGTAACACTACCAGTGTGTTGGCCTCTATTAAAAAACTTCAAAGAATTTTCATTAATTCTTTCTTCCCAGAGTTTTCATCAATTCTTTCTTCCTAAACCCAGAATTTATGTAATATTATTCGTAGTCACCAAAATAGAGAATGAAAAAAATATTTAGTTGTCCATTTCCTTAGGGAAAAGCCAAGTCACTGAATTATTACATTTTTCAAAAGCAAACAATAGCTACGCTAAACATGATTGCTTTTAGCAAACTAAAAACGAATGATGCACTTTCATTGTTAGAGACAATGCCCTCATGTCCTGGGTACCCCAAAATGTCAGTCCTCCAGCGTCCATTAAAAACTGATGGTGGAGCCACCAGAAGACGCCGCCCGCCGGCAAGCGCGCGCACGTGTGCCGACTGAGGCCGGGCTTCACCCGGAAGTCGGCCCTCTCCCGCCCCAGGCCACACACTCCCGGGAGAAGCTTCCTTTGGGGCGAGTGTGAGCAGGGCTATGGGGACAAGGACACGCACGCAGCTCCAGGGAGAACATGCCTTCCGGGCGAACCCGGGCCGCGGAGAGTGTGCGGAAGCCCCAGGCCGGTCCTCCTCCGGAGACAGCAGTGCACACAGCGGGGAAGGGCCCGGGAGTGCAGACACCCGCCTCGCAAGAGCACCGCCGTGGACGCAGTGACCTGGGCCGTGCGCGAAGGCTGCACCTGGGAGACACGTGACCTCAGCAGAGACAGACCTACCAGACCTACGCGCGACTGGGAAGCCACCAGGTAGGGACCCTCCCACCGCGCCAGGGACGTGGGAACACGTCCAGACACGCGTTTTCGTCAGACTGGGAGCCTCTTGGTGCATCTCTAGACAGAGACCCGGAATGATGCTGTGCTTCCTGCGGTGCACATTACAGCTCTAGGACGGGTAATTACCTGAGCCTGGAAAATGTGGACCCTTTCAGGGACAGTTTTGGCTCCCTGACATCCTCCTCGCCTTGGCCAAACATTGCTGAGACTGAGCTGCGGCTGAGAGCCAAGGACACCCACCATCTCCTTTTTCTTCCCCATCTAAGTCACGTGGCTTTGCCTAACTGCTTTGACACTGTCTCCACTTGTCTCTCAAATGTGGTTTCCCAGCAATCCATTTCACTTTAATCCTGTCTTACTTCTCTGAAGACTCAAACTACAAAATTTGAAAAGGGGGGAAAAAGTAACCCACAGTAAAGGAAAGTGGTGTACACGACATTGAACTGACATTGAAAGTGGTGTACAGGACATTGGCAAAGTTAACCCTTCATACTGGGACAGAATGATCGCATGAATGTCCCAATTCCTTGAAGAGGACACTGTCGATTCTTACATCATTTCTAGAAAATGTGTAACCTAAATCTTGCTCAGAAGACATTAATTGAAAAATATTTTACAAATTAGCTGTCATGCACTCTTCAAAACTAGCAAGGATAAGAAAGGCTTAACTTCTTTAGATTAATGGACATTACAGAGACATGAAAACTTAGAATGTCTGATACAAGCCTGGATCCTGGACGCAAAATCTATAGCTACAATAGACTATGAACTAGAGAACAGCACTCAACTAAATAATAAATCAATGGTAAATATAGTGCAGTATAGTCATATAGTATTTTAAATGTATTTTCTCTAAGAAAACAGAATTGAGTTTTAAAGGTAAAAACATTACTCCAATTTATTTAAAAACTATTCAGAAAAATTATATGTCATTCATAGAAAAAAATGAATAGATACAGTAAATATAAATACATTTTCCAAAGAAGTTAGAGTAGGAAGAATGAACACCAATTAAACAGCTATAAAGCACTGGGAAAACTACTTCAAAGGTATATTAGAAATGCCTTATACATTTCTTGAAACCTTCCTCTAGACTTGTTATTTTACAAAAATAAACTATAATCAAAACAGTAAAAACGTGAAGAAAGAGAAGAAAGGAAGGAGAGAGACAGAAAGCAAATACAAGACAGGAGGTAAACTTCTTGGATTGTTCAGTGGTTAGAATGATCACAGGTAAGATTTAGTTGGAGCTTCAGTGTGAGCTAGATCAACTCAGCTCCTAAAAAAAAATCAGAATATTAGCTCACATTCTAATTTCCAGGTAGGAAAAAAAGGACATGAGAAACAATCCACACATTAGTCTTCAGCAGTTCATCAATATGCAATGTTCTTAATATGATTGATCCTTTACCAGATAGGGGAACAAGTAGGATAGAGTAAACAATAAAAAAGAAGCAATTGGTCAGCCAGTTAATGGAGATCATAACAGAAGTTTTAAATCATTTACAACTATTTTTAAAAATTTAGAAAAAAATGGTAAGATGTTTTAAAATGAAAATTTTCATTTTTAAACAAAGCATCAAATATGAATACCCATATTGAAATACAGTGATGCTTCAGTTCACGAGCGCTTTTGTGAATAATTTGGTTTGCAAACAGAAGCATTTAAAAAATTTTGTTTTTGTTTGCAAACTTCCCACTGAGTGATGAACACAACTGTGGCCATCTTTTCCAGAATTGTGGAACGAATTAAATTCACGAACCAAGGCACCGCTGGCTTCAATATATGCATTTTGTAGCTCACGCCTGAAGATGTGGTAAAACTGTCATCTTTTCTCCATTTCTCTCTAACTTTCTTGTAGACTCAAATGAGTGATGTAAATGAACCCAGAAATAACAGGAAAAAAGGCCATTGCTTTGAAAGTTACTCATCTTCTCATTCTTTAAATTTCTTCCTTCTTGAGAACCGAGGAAGATCAGTCACTAACCCCTGAGCTAGCCAACTAATATGAAGTGGTGCTAAAGTTAAAATTTATTGCTCTCATTTTGTACCCTACACAAAAATTATAAACCTCCTTCCACAAGGAAGCACTTGCTTCTGAAGCCAGCGTGCTTCTATAGAACTTTGGCAATTTTTCCTTTCAGATTTTAAGTAGGCTATTTAATGTATCTTATGCCTTTTGCCTAAGGAGTTTTCTTTATCATGAATAAATTAATAAAAATTGTATTGTCATCTATACTTGGGAAGAAGTCTCTCTTGCGTGCAATGTGTGTGTGTGTGTGTGTGTGTGTGTGTATTATTCATTTCTTCTGAGAAGATATCTTAGTGTTTGTGACTTCAATTTCAAAGTAACAATAAACATTAAAGATGAAATATTGAAAAAAAACTGATGGTGATGATGCCACTGAACTATAGTGAAGTAATAATCACCAAAAGTTCACCTCCATAAAAACAACTAAACAATAAGCTAATACAATTTGTCAAAGTCAACTGTTTCAGTACTCTGGAATCTACCAGTAGGTTGGCAGCAACCCAGGCAGCGTTTAATGAAGAGAAGGACCACAATGTTGGGGCATTTTAACTTACTTTCATCTCATCACCTGCGCCTCAGGTCTGCAGCAGCCCTGAAACACAACAGCATTCCTAGCATCAGAGGGAACAGAGGGGGGCCAGAGATCTCCGAAAGCCTCATTCCCAAAGAGAAGTCATGAGCTGATCTGGCTGGCAGCATTCTGGAATTTCACTACTCAAAAAGCTGTCACTGGTCAACTTAAAGTCTGTCCCAGTGCTAAAGGCTTCTCTCCAGGGGTCTCTGTCAAATGTTCCCGTATTATGTCTTCCCAGTGTGCGGGGTGGAGCAGGGACAAATGTCAGACTAGCCACAGAGCTCAAAGGCAAAGCTGAGGAATGAGATGCTCATAAGTGATTGGAAAACTGCCAACATATTCCTGAAAAACGCTCATAGGACCACATCCACACTCAGGAAAGACCTAAGAAAGCTCTATGATATCACCTCTGATTGACCTTGATGCCAGGCACAAGCAGGAGAATAATGCTAAGGTAGAGCTGTATGCTTCCTAGTTGAGTGCTGGTAGCATACCCCAACACAAAAACAGGAACCTAACACACACCTATAGAATATTCAACTCAACAACTGCCGTACACACATGCTTCTCTAATGTATGTGGAATATTCTCCAAAACAGATGACAGGTTAGGACCCAAAACTATTCTCAATAAATTTAAAGGGCTTAAAATTATATAAAATATCTTCTTTGGAACAAAACTGGAAATCAACAATGAGGAAGTTTCAGAAATTCACAAATACATGAAATTTGAGCAACATATGCTAAAGAAACCAATGAGTCAAAGAAGAAGTCACATGAGAAATTAGAAAATAAAGATGAAAAATAAAAGTGAAAATACATTATGTCAAAACATATGAGATGCCACAAAAGCAGGTGTCAAAGGGAAATCTGTGGCTGTAAATGCCTCTGGTAAAAAAGAGGAAAGCTCTCAAGATAACCTAAACTTCTATTGTAAGAGGGTTAAAAAAGAAAAGTAAACTAACCCCAAAGCAAAGAAATAAATAATAGAATAGAAATAAATAAAGCCAAGATAGAAGATCAATGAAACCAAAAGTTAGTTTTTTGAAAACATTTTAAGAAAGAAACCACAGGGCCAGGGATTTAGCTCAGTGGTTTTGCCACCTGCTGCACAAGTGCAAGGACCTGAGTTTGATCCTCAGTATCAAAAAAAAAAAAAAAAAAAGAAAGAAAGAAAGAGAGAAGGAAACCATAATGGATTACATAGGGAGGAAAAAATATAAAAGAAATAATAAGAATAACTGAATATCATAAAAAATAATTACATAGATGAAATGGACAAATTCCTAGAATGACCTATCTACAATAAGTGACTCAGGAAGAAATAGAACATCTGGATAGATCTATAACAAGTAAACAGAGTTGGTTATCAAAAACTTTCCATAAAAAAAAGCCCAAGCCCACAGAGTTTCATTGGTGAATTCTATCAAAATCCAAAGAAGAATTAATAATAATTCTCCTCAAACTCTTCCAAAAAAGAAGAGTAAGGAACACTAACCAACCAATTCAATAAGGCCAGTATTATCTTCATACCAAAATG